GTGTATGTGGCTGGCACCTTAGCCACTTGAGCCACAGGGGCCGAGCCAGTGGGTGGGTTTTTAAAGTCACTACAAATGGCTGTGTTACACTATCTAGAGACTCACCAAACATAATATAATAGTGTGATTTTCCATTCAGGTTCTTCTGATCCACATCTGCTGGGAAGACCTTAATGTAGCCCCCTCCGCAGTCCATCTTCTGCTCATGTTTCACTGTGTATTGAATGACCAGGGTCTTCCCTTTATTGCTGAATGGTTTGAATCGTGCAGAGATAGCGTAGAATCGGCCATTCTGAGTGGTTTGCAGACCTTTAAACAAAAACCACTCATGAAGGGTTAGGAATGACACTGTACTCTGTAATGCAGGGAAGTTAAACCGATGCACTTGCCTTACCCCCAACAGTAAATGTCCTAATCATTTTCACTGATCCGGTGCCCACTTTATACACTAGTACACAATGGGCACACTGCTAATGGGCTCTCTGCTTGCACAGAACTTCTATTTCATGCACCTGGATGTTTTGTGCTTAATATACCTCTGTTATGTTTTAAGTTACAAAAATGCTTCAACTTTGAATGACAAATAGACAATTACTGTAAAAAGGTTAATTTTGCCTTCCTTCATATTCCATGGGGTGGGAATATAGAATGAAGCTTGTGTAGCAACAGAATGAAAAACGAAACTCTCAGCTCAGCATCTATAGCTCAGCGGCTAGGGTGCCAGCCACATACACTGGAGGTGGTGGGTTCAAACCCAGCCTGGGCTTGCCAAACAACAATGAGAACTACAACCAAAAAATAGCTGGGTGTTGTGGTAGGCGCCTATAGTCCCAGCTACTTGGGAGGCTGGGGCAAGAGAATTGCTTAAGCCCAAGAGTTTGAGGTTGCTATGAGCTGTGACACCACAGCACTCTACTGAGGGCAACATAGGGAGACTCTGTCTCAAAAAAAAAAAAAAAAAGAAAGAAAAGAAAAGAAACTCTTCTTTTCTAAAAGAAGTTCTCACTCTATTGCCTGGGCTAGAGTGCACTGGTGTCATCCTAGTTCACAGCATCCTAGTTCACATCTCAAATTGCTAGGCTCAGGTGATCCTCCTGCCTCAGCCTCCCTAAGTGCTGGGATTACAGGAGTGAGCCACTACACCCAGTCTTTGCTGCTTCTCTTCTCATCCTAAAATAGCTACTTAAGGGACACAACAGAGAACATGCCTGAAAAGTGACAGTGCTTCACTGCACTGGTGTCACCTTTGAGGTGCTCCCATTTCACGGAGCTTAGGATCCTCTGCTGTGAAATGGGAGCTACAGCCATAGCTCTTTTAATGAACACACCACTCTTTCTGTCATACACTCACTCATCTCACTTCAACAACCTCCTTTCCTAGTAACCAGGAGGCTCAATCCCAAATTTTTTGCTTATACTCAGCATGTCAGACAAACCTGAAGTTAGAACCATTCTTATAACTTACCTGATGGAATCATAAGTGAACTTAGCATTTTGTGTTCATGAGTCCATCCTTTTTTTTCTTTTGAGACAGAGTCTTACTATGTCCCTCGGTAGAGTGCCATGGTGTCACAGCTCACAGCAACCTCCAGTTCTTGGGCTTAAGTGATTGTCTTGGCTCACCCTCTCAAGTAGCTGGGACTACAACCCCTCACCACAACACTGGCTATTTTTTGGTTGCAGTTGTCATTGTTGTTTAGCAGGCCTGGGCTGAGTTCAAACCTGCCAGCTTTGGTGCATGTGGCTGGTGCTGAGTCTTTTTTTTTTTTTTTTTTTTGAGATGGGGTCTCCTGTAACTCAGGATAAAGTGTAGTGGCATCATAATAGCTCATGCTAGCCTCAAATTCCTAGGCTGGGCTCCAGTCTCCCCAGCAGCTAGGACTATAGGCATATACTACCACATTTAGCTATTTTTTTTTTGTTTTTGCAGTTTTTGGCGGGGGCTGGGTTTGAACCTGCCACCTCTGGTATATGGGGTCGGCACCTTACTCCTTTGAGCCACAGGCACTGCCCTTAACTAATTTTAGACTTTTTTTTTTTTTAATAGAAACAGGGTCTCACTATGTTGTTCAAGCTGTCCTCAAATTCCTGGCCTCAAGTGATCCTCCTGCCTCAGCTTCCTAAAGTGCTGAAATTACAGGTGTAAGCCACTGCACCTGGCTAGTTCTCTTCGTACTATAACCTACTGAATAACATCATCAATGCACTTGGCATTTTATAACCATGTGTGCAGACCAGAACTCATGGGTGAACTCCCTACTACCTTACCTCTCTTTTCCCTACTCTTCACTTACCCCTCCGTTTCTCGGGGGATCCACAACTCTTTTCCCTCCCTTTCCCTTCCCTCTAGGAATTACCCAGGCAATTCCTAAGGCTATCTGATTCTCTACCTCCTCTGCATCTCACCACCCTCCTTTGTACCCCCATTCTCTTTCACCACTTCCCATCTCTGTCTAATCAAATTCAGGTCATCTTCCCATTCATGGCTCCTATGTCATGGTCCCAGAAAATCATAAGCAAGGTACCATATTAACTGGTGTCCCCAGAGCCTTGCCCACATATACTCTCTGTAGACATGTGGTAAAGAAGAGACAAAATATACAAAATCTCAGAATTTCAAACTGAAGAAAAGAAAATTATTGTGGGCAGGAAGACTCTTAAAGACTGTAAATGGAAAGTACTGTCTTTGGATAAATTTCATGGAATGATCTGTTTATTTTCACTCCATTTTTGTCATTTTTACCAACTATTTGGGTCAAATTTTATTTTATGAAACAATGCATACAGGAGCAAAAGCCAGAGGCTACTATACTTAGGGGAACATTGGTGCAACAGGCCTAATCGAGGTTGAGTGGAAGGTGGTAACAAGCAAAACTTTTTCTGTAAGGCCCAATAGAAAATACAGTTCAGCCTTGAACAGCAGAGGTTTGAACTGCACAGATCCACTTTTACATGAATGTTCTTTCCTTTTTTTTTTCTTTTTTCTTTGAGATAAGTTTCACTCTCTTGCCCTGGGTAGAGTGCTATGACATCATAGCTCACAGCAACCTCAAACTCCTGGGCTCTAGTCATCCTCTTGCCTCAGCCTCCTGAGTAGCTGGGACTACAGGTGCCTGCCACAACGTCTGGCTAGTTTTCCTATTTTTTGTAGAGATGGGGGGGGTCTCACTCCTGTTTAGGCTGGTCTTGAACTCCTGAGCTCAAGAAATCCACCCACCTTGGCCTCCCAGAGTGCTAGGATTACAGGTGTGAGCCATTGCGCCTGGCCCAGATTTTTTTATAATCAAAGATGTATTGAGTGTACCTGGCTCTCCTGCCGCCCCTTGTCTCTCCCACCTCTGTTATCCCTGAGACAGCAAGACCAATCCTTCCTCTTTCTCCTCTTCTTCAGTCTACTCAACGTGAAGGTGACTAGGATTAAGACCTTTGTTAAGATCCACTTCTGCTGGGTGCAGTGGCTCATACCTCTAATCCTAGCACTCTGGGAGGCCGAGGTGGGTGGAATGCCCTGAGCTCACGGGTTCCAGACCAGCCTGAGCAAGAGTGAGACCCCATCTCTAAAAATAGCTGGGCATTGTGGTTGGGTGCCTAAAGTCCCAGCTACTGGGGAGGCTGAGGCAAAAGAATTGCTTGAGCCTAAGAGTTGGAAGTCTCTGTGAGCTAAGACACCACAGCACTGTACCAAGGGTGACAAGGTAGAAAAAAAGATCCACTTCTACTTAATGAGTACTAAATATATTGTCTGTTCCTTATGATTTTGTTAGTAACAATTTTTTTAGTTATTGTAAGAATATAGCATATTATATATATATATATATATATAGCATAAAAAATATGTGTTCATTGACTGTATTATTGGTATGGCTTCTGGTCAGCAGTGGTGAATGAATAGTTAAGTTCTGGGGCAAAGTTACAGGAGGATTTCTGGCTACAAGGGAGTCAGTGCCCCTACTCCTCAAGTTGTTCAAGGGTCAACTGTATTTTTAGACTTGGTAGGCCATATGCTCTCTGTCCCAACCACTCTACCCTGCCACATGCAATATGTAAATGGAGCTGGGTTCCAATAAAACTTTATTTATGAACACTAAACTTTCACATGCTTCACTGAATTTTATATAACTTTTTTTTTTTTTTTTGAGACAGAGCCTCAAGCTATCCCCCCTGGGTAGAGTGCCAGGGCATCACACTCACAGCAACCTCCAACTCCTGGGCTCAAGTGAGTCTCCTGCCTCAGCCTCCCAAGTAGCTGGGACTACAGGTGCCCGCCACAACGCCTGGCCATTTTTTGGTTGCAGCCATCATTGTTGTTTGGCGCGTCCGGCCTGGGGATTCGAACCCGCCACCTTAGGTGTATGTGGCTTATGCCTTAGCCGCTTGAGCCACAGGCACCGAGCTGAATTTTATATAATTTTTACAGTTTCATAAAATACTATTTCCCTTTTGATTTTTTATCCCAACAAGTAAAAAAACTTAAAAAACTATTCGCAGCTTGCTGGCTGTACATTAAAAAAGGTTTGTTCGGCTCGGCGCCTATAGCTCAACCGGCTAAAGCGCCAGCCACGTACACCTAAGGTGGCGGGTTCGAATCCCCAGCCCGGATCCGCCAAACAACAATGACGGCTGCAACCAAAAAAAAAAAATAGCCGGGCGTTGTGGCGGGCGCCTGTGGTCCCAGCTACTTGGGAGGCGGAGGCAGGAGACTCGCTTGAGCCCAGGAGTTGGAGGTTGCTGTGAGCTGTAATGCCACGGCACGCTACCCAGGGGGAGAGCTTGAGGCTCTGTCTCAAAAAAAAAAAAAAAAAAAAAAAAGGTTTGTTCACCTTTTGATCATCAGACATGAGAAGCCAGAATAGAGGTCATCTGGTAAGTCAAGAGGTTACTGACTTGGAAAAGGGTGGAGGCACTCAGAGAATTTGCTTTGGGGAGGAAAACTGAAAATGTTACTTATCTTGATCTGCCTGTACAGATGTAAAAATATGTTTACCCCCTATATGGTAAGTACTCTTTCACCTTTTCCCCTTTGTGGGTCAGGACCTTCAGATTCCCAAACTCATTTGATTAGGGCTTATAAAGTGATCTTGGGCAATAAAGAAAAAAAACAACAAAGACTGTACTTTTGCCCTAGGATCCTCTGCCGTGAAATGGGAGTAAGAAAATGTTAGGATGGCTGGGCGCCCATAGCTCAGTGGGCGCCAGCCACATGCTGCGGGGCTGGTGGGTGGGTGAGACCCCGGTCCCGGCCTGCTAAAACAAAACAAAACAAAAATAGCCAGGCGTTGTGGCTGGGCACCTGTAGTCCCAGCTACTAGGGAGGCTGAGGCAAGAGAATCGTTTGAACCCAGGAGTTTGAGGTTGCTGTGAACTATGATGCCACTACACTCTACTGAGGGCACAAAGTGAGACGCTTGTCTCAGTTAAAAAAATAAAAAAGTGTTAGGGTGTGCTACGAATACGTCGGGTTGCTAGGGAAGTTTAACATTTGATTTTCTCCTGATTCTACACTAACCTTTGTCTTTCTCTATATGACCATAAAATTTCCCGGACGAGAGTTTAAAATGCCCAAATCGGGAGTCATTGGTGGACGGAACCCATCGGTTTCTCCAGCGCTCTGTGGAGGGAAACAACACCGGTTAGAGATGAAAATTGTTAGAGTCCAGAGGAGGATGAGGGGGGCCCTTAAGGCTTCGCTCCTGCAGACCCCGCAGGGTGGGGCCTGGGGATAACAGCGACTCTAGCTATCTGGAAATATGGGGTGGGGTGGCTTATACCCCCGCCACCACGGGCGCGTCCCCTTCACCTCCGTCTAGAAATTCCTCCTGGAAGTAGACGGTAGCCAGAGCCACCCGCAGCACGCAGATGGCCCAGACTGGAGCGCCAGCCCCAGCCATAAGGTTGCGCGCCAAGCTGCCTCTGGTAAATCGCCCCTTTGCTCCTGGCTGTCTGGGAGGCTCGGGGAGCCCACACCAGAACTACAACTCCCGTCACACCACGCGATTATGACCTGAGGCACCATTGGTCCCAGGCGCGCGGTGCACGCCGGGCCCGCCCTTGAACTACCGCTCCCGTGACGCCCAGCGATTGTGACCTGAGGCACCATTGGTCCCCAGGGCGCGATGTGTGCCGGGAAGTGTAGTATCTTCTGCTCTGGCGCGGTTGCCAAGGGCAACGGTCCCCTGGTGGCATGAGCGCCTAGCTTGGAGTGCGGTGGCGGCCTCCGCTACCGCCTCAGCTGATGGACAACGTGGGAGAAGGAGAGCTGCAGAGCTGGTGTGGTGGCGACCGGGCGGGACGCTCGAGCTCGCGAGAGGGGATGCCCGGAAATGGGGGTGGAGGGAGCTCCGGGCTCTGGGCAAGTCGGGCGGCGGGAGTGCGGTCCCGCGCCTCAGCTTCCCCATCTGGGGACCGCATTCCAGCGTGTTTTCTTCGAGGCCTTTAAAAGCTGAATAGTCTGAGGGGCGCCAGTGTTTTCAGTTTGTTTTGTTTATTTTTAAGAACTTGATTGAGGTATCATTTGCGTATCGTACTATTCGCCACTTTTAAGTGTACAACTCTGTTCTTTTTAGTAAATTTACAAAGTTGTGCAACTGTCGCCACGATCTTGATTTAGAACTTCCCATGACCCAACGAGATACCTCCCAAACCCAGGCAATGACGGATCTTTCTGGATCTAGATTTGCATTTTCTGGGCGATTCTGACAAATGGAATAGTGGTAGTGTGGTGTTTGGGTCAGGCTACTTTCCCTTAATATATGTTTGAGATTCTTGCATCCAGGGATGTTTCCTTTATTGGTGAATAGTATTCCACTTTAGGGACAGACCATAGTTCTTCATTCATTCACTAGTTAATGGACATTTGGATTGTTTCCACTTTTTGTCTATTATGAATAATAACTGTTATGAAGATTTGCATTCATTTTCATTTCTCTTGGGCCACATAGGAATAGAATTTCTGGATCATATGGTAAATTCTATGTCTGACTTTTTGAGGAACCACCAAACTGTTTTCCATATGGCAGCTGCACCATTTTACAATCCCCCAACAGCTTATGATGTTTCTTTACAATTTCTTTACATCCTTGCCAACAATTGTTACCTGTATCTTTCATTGTAGCCATCTCAGGGGATGTGAAAGGGTATCTCATTGTGGTTTTAGTTTGCATCTCCATTTTTTTCTTTGTTTGTTTTGATGTGGGGCCTTACTCTGTTGCTGGGGCTAGAATGCCGGAGTATCATCATAACTTACTGCAACTTCAAACTTCTGGACTCAAGTGATCCTCCTGCCTCTGCCTCCCAAGTAGCTGGGATTACAGGCGTGTACCACCATGCCTGGATAATTTTTCTATTTTTGGTAGAGATAGGGTCTCATTCTTAGGCTGTTCTTGAACTCCTGGCCTCAAGCAATCCTCCTACCTTGGCCTCCCAAAGTTCAAGGATTACAGGAATGAGCCACTGTGCCTGGCCTGCGTCTCCTTAATGGCTAGTGATGTTGAACATCTTTTCATGTGCTTATTGGTTATTCATATATATATTTTTGTGTGTGTTAAATAACTTCACATCTTTTGCCCATTGGTTTATTTTAAACTATGTGTTTAAAAATAAATACATATATTTATATATAGTGGTAAAATATACCTAACATCAAATTTTCTTCCTTAACCATTTTTCCATTGATTTATTTTTAATTGATATGTAGTAGTTATACATAGTTTGGGGATATGTGTAATGCTTTGATACCTGTATACATTGCATAATGCTTATATCAGTGTAACTGGGATATCTATCAACACATTTACTTTTCTTTGTTGGGAACATTACAATTCTTCTAGATATCTTGAAATACATAGTAAATTATTTTTAGCTATAATTTTTCTGCCATACTATTGAACACTAGAATTTATTCCTTCTACCTAACTGTATTTTTGTACTCCTTAACCAACTTCTCTTCTGTTGGCTTATTTTTAAACCTAGGGAAACTTTCAGAGTTAGAAGAAGTTTCAGGAAAACTACATTGGTAATCAGATCTTCCCTCTAATACACAGAGTGGGCTGAGTCACCTCCTGAGCATTGGCTACAAACAATTAACAAAGGTAGTTCTTGCAGTTCTTCCAGTGTTGTATATGTGTGAAGCACTGTGTTCTAGGGAACAGAAGTTCACCACATCTTTACAGTTAAAAGGTACCCTATTATGCAGATGATTCAAATACTGCCGTTACTGTCGTTAATTTTTTTTTTTAAGAGACACTGTCTCTTTTTTTTTATCTGTTTTTGGCCAGGGCTAGGTTTGAACTCACCACCTCCAGCATATGGGACCGGCGCCCTACCCTTTTGAGCCATGCTGTCTCGGGTGGCGCCTGTGGCTCAGAGGGGTAGGGCGCCGGCCCCATATGCCAGAGGTGGTGGGTTCAAACCCAGCCCCGGCCAAAAACTGCAAAAAAAAAAAAAAAAGACAGGGTCTCACTCTGTTGACCAGGCTGGAATGCAGTGGCACAATCATAGCTCATTGTCCTGAACTCCTGGTCTCAAGAAATCCTCCTGCCTCAGCCTCTCAAGTAGCTAGGACTACAGGTGTATGCCACTAAGCCTGGCTAATTTTTGTTTTTTTGAGACAGAGTCTCACTCTGTCTCATATATCTGGCTAGTTTTAGTAGAGAAGGTGGTCTCACTCTGGCTCAGGCTACTCTTGAACTCCTGAGCTCAAGCAAGCAATCTACCCACCTCAGCCTCCTAGAGGGCTGAAATTATAGGCATGAGCCACTGTGCCCGGTTGCCAGCTGATTTAAAAAAATTTTTTTTGTAGAGACAGAGTTTCACTGTGTTATTCAAGCTGGTCTCAAACTCCTGGCCTTAAGCAATCCTCCTAGCTTGGCCTCTCAAAATGCTGGGAGTACAGGGTGAACTATCATACCAGCTTGTACAGAATCTTAAGAGTTGGGTTAAATACTCTTTTTCCTTGCATAAATCATTTGAGCTCTGCTTTGAAAGTCATAAAAGATAAAGGGGGGTAGACAGAAAATAAAAATATAAGACCTCTAGTTAAATTCCAATTTCAGATAAATAACTAATAATTTTTTACTATAAAAGCATTTAGAACATACTTTTTATTTTATTTTATTTTATTTTTTTTTTTTCTTAAGAGGCAGAGTCTCACTTTATCACCCTTGGTAGAGTGCCATGGTGTCACAGCTCACAGCAACCTTCAACTCCTGGACTTAAGTGATTCTCTTGCCTCAGCCTTCCAAGTAGCTGGGACTATAGGCATCTGCCACAATGCCTGGCTATTTTTTTGTTGTTGTTGCAGTTTGGCCTGGGCCAGGTTCGAACCTGCTACGCTCGGTATATGGGGCCTGTGCCCTACCCATTGAGCCACAGGTGCCACCCTAGAACATAATTTTTAGTGAAAAGGTACTTGATATATACTTATATTTAAAAAATTGGCTGGGCGCAGTACCTCAAGGCTATAATCACAGTATTTGGGGAGGCTAAGGTAGGAGGACTGCTTAAGCCCAAGAGTTGGAAGCTACAGCAACCTATGATAGTGCCACTGCAATTAGTTTGGGTGAGAGAGTGAAACTCAGTCTCTCAAAAAAAAAGAAAGTCTGGCCCTTCTACCCAGAAAAATGTCCATCAGCATATGCACATAACATGTGGCATTCATTTGGCATAGGGGTGGGGTGGGTAGTTTCTGTCTGTAGCCTACTTCCATCCAGGGCAACAGTATGTGTTTTCATGTCTCTGTGTCAGCATTTTTTTAGCATTTTAAAAAATCTAGTCTGAAATCCAAATCAATAAAATATTTTTTAATCAAGATATGTGGGGCGGTACCCACATATGTGGGTGTGGCTCAGTGAGTAGGGCGCCAGCCCCATATACCAAGGGTAGCAGGTTCAAACTTGGCCCTGGCCAAACTGCAACAAAAAGATAGCCAGGTGTTGTTGCAGGCGCCTGTAGTCCCAGCTACTCAGGAGGCTGAGGCAAGAGAATTGCCTAAGCCCAAGAGCTGGAGGTTGCTGTGAGCTGTGATGCCATGGCACTCTACTAAGGACGTCAAAGTGAGACTCTTGTCTCTAAAAAAAAAAAAGAAAAAGAAAAAAAAGATATGTACATTTTTTTTAAGATACAGTGCCCTTGCTTACTTAATGGACTACAGTTAGTGTAATCATAACTTTTACATACAATAGGAAACCAAAAAGTTTGTGATATTGGTAATAATTGCTTTACTGTAATATTTGCTATATTGCAGTAGTCTAGAGCCAAATGTACTGTACATCTGAGGCATCCTTGCAGGTTGTGGTTTTTTGTTTATTTTTGTTTTGGTTTGGTTTTTTAGATAGAGTCTCACTCTGTCCTCCAGGTTAGAGTACAGTGACATCATCATCATCTCACTGCAGCCTCAAACCCTTGGGCTCAAGCAGTTCTCCTACCTCAGCCTCCCAAATAGCTGAGACTACAGCTATGTGCTACTATGCCTAGCTAATTTTTTTATTTTTTGTAGAGGCAGTCTCACTCTTGCTCAGGCTGGTCTCAAACTCGTAGCCTCAAGTGATCCTCCTGCCTCAGCCTCCCAGAGTGCTAGGATTACAGGTGTGAGCCACTGCACCTTACCAGAAGTTGTGTTTTGACAGCTCTCTGTTAGAGAGCTGAAGGCCCTTGGTAAAGGAGGACCCCCACTATGGGGTAGGGCTTGAGAGCAGGGGTTAGGGGATGAATGCAGGCAGGAGAGTGGGGACTTTGGAATCAGACTCGAGCTTTGAATTTGGCTCAAGTACTTACCAGTCGGGTGACCTTGACCAGTGACCATATCTGTGAGGGCTTTCATTTCTTCTACCTCCTGAGGGGCATGACAGTAACCAACTCACAGCGTTGAGTTTCTGTGAGGATTAAATGAGAACATAATACAAGCACTGAGCAGAGTGCTAAAACGTGTGGCCAGGGCAGGAGAAGTGCTGGCTGTTGTGTTTTTTTTTTTTTTTTTTTGAGACAGAGCCTCAAGCTGTCCCCCTGGGTAGAGTGCCATGGCTTCACTGCTCATAGCAACCTCCAACTCCTGGGCTCAAGTGAGTCTCCTGCCTCAGCCTCCCAAGTAGCTGGGACCACAGGCGCCTACCACAATGCCCGGCTATTTTTTGGTTGCAGCTGTCATTTGGCCGTTCCACGCTGGATTCGAACCCGCCACCTTAGTTGTATGTGGCTGGCGCCTTAGCCACTTGAGCCACAGGCACCGAGCCACTGGCTGTTGTGTTTAAGTATAACATGTCTCATATAAGACCTGGCATTGAATTCAGTAAGTGGTACCAAGTGTCTAGTTATTTTCATTGTCATCTTTGGGCTTAAAGGGAAGGCTATGGATAGGCTACAAAGAGCAGTGTGATCTTTAGCTAGGTAGGAGCCGTTGAATGCAAAATACCAACGTTGTTTTCATTTTCTCCCTAGAATGGCTTTAGCAAGAAAAGCCAGCCGTCCAGTGTACGATATATTTGGTGATTTCAGTGATATTTCCTTAGACGATTCAAAGATGGAAGAAATCAGAAACTTGAAAATTGATAGAAGTCTTACCAAAATAGCACCTGGCCATGGTAGATTTCTAAAAAGAAACCAAAATATGGATGAAAAACACTTACTCCTGAATGAGAACACTCTCTTGGGAAGTGGGCCCAGGCTTGCCTCAGGTAGACCCCCAACCACTGCCTCGAAGGTCAGAGCAAATGCTGCGCTCATGAAGCTAGCTCAGATAGAAACTAAAATCATGAGTCGGAAGGTACAGATTAATTTGTCTGACACTGACTCTGACTCGAAGACCACTGATGCCAGTCTTCTAAAGATAGCAGATGAAATGCCCCCAAAGAGAACAGTTGAACTTTCTTCACAGAATATAGGAAAAACTTCCCAGAAACAAGCCAGTGAACTTCCTGTGGCCAAGAGTAATGCACAGAATTTGAAGATTAGTAGGTTTCTAAAGAAAAAAAACCCACCTGTTGAAAATAAATTCCCTGAAGTACCTGTTGGGAAAGAGAGGACACCTGAAACACCCAAACACAAAGAGCCTTCTAGAAAATTTGATTTTCCAGACAGTGATGAAGAGGATATGAAAACATTGCTGGGAAGCTTGATGGAATCTTCTAGACCTGAAAAAACAGCTATAAATCAAGGCTTCACCAGCACTCAAGTAAGCAAGAAAGAACAAATAAAACTATCCTCAGTAAAGTTTTAATTTGTTAATTTTTAACAAAGCCATAGCATTTACTGCTAACATGAGGGACTGTCTTGGACACATTGGGAGGTTTCATAATATCTGTAACTTGTAACTGTATATGCCACAGGACAACATTGTGTGTAGATTGCACACCAGCAGTGATCATTCCATTGGTGATCCATGTCTGTATATCAGAGGCACCATTGAAAGGTGATATTTCTTTCTGTTTTTAAAAAAAATTAAGGTGAAATTTATATAACAAATTAACCTCTTTGAAGTGCACAATTCAGTAGCATTTAGTACACTCACAATGTTGTGCAACCAACACTTCTATTTGGTTTTGGAACATTTCCATCATCCCAGAAGGAGAGCCTGTCCCCGTTAGCAGTTGTTGGGGTCCTGCCCTGAGAGCAGCATCCCCTGAGACCTGTGGAAAACAGCGGTGATCAATGGAAGAAATATAAAGTTAGGAGCGATGGTAAAGAAAAACAAGAGACAGAGTAGAATTAAAAGTGGGAGCTCAGTGGTCCATTGCCCGTCATGGGATTCCGGCAATGGCCCAGAGTGTTTGGTCCACTCTGATTTAATTGAAGTCTATTTGCCCTGAGGGTAAGATGAGGGAGAGAACAAAGACATCAGCAGTTTCTCGGTTTGATCATATCAGCTCCTGTTGTTATTAGTATTGGCCTTAAAGGTAGCCTTCAATAATCTGAAATCTGAGCCTTGTATTGGGAGAGCCTCCTGCTTGAGGTCATACACACAGATTTCTATGAAGGTGTTAAGTTCCACTAGTTCTCTATGGAGTAAAATGCCACCAGCGTTAAATCTCCTTAGGGATTGGTGGGAGGGAGGCATTTTCCTCCCATCACCACTACAGAAGATTTTCCTCTGCTATGAGGGATATAAACTCTTCTGCCCATATCTCAGAGCTGGAGCTACTTACTGCCTTGGTCTCTGCCCCAGACAAATGCAAATCTCCACAATGGGTATCTCCTTTGCCTGTTTAATGGGCAGGAAAAGCCCTAGAAGATGTATCTTTTCTAGGAGTTGCCATAATCTCTTCTATGGCCATTACCTTCCTCAGAGTGCTCAGTGCACTATATACCCAACAGGCTAGAATTTCAGAAAAGGCAAGAAGCTTGCTAGCAATGGCTAGCTTAAATGTAAACTAGCTGACTTTTTTTTGTTCCAACTCACTCAGTTTGGTTTTTAGTTTTCCTTTTTTTCTGGGGGTGCTTTCCTTTGCCAAGAATGGGGTCTTTGGTCCCCATTCTCCCTGCAAGCAGTCACTCATTCCTCTTCCCTCACCCACTGGAAACCACAATCTGCTTTCTATTCCTATGGATTTGCTTGTTCTGGACATTTCTATAAATGGAATCACATAGGATGTGACTTGGCTTTTATGTCTGATGTCTTTCACTCAGCATCATTTTTTTTTTTTTTTTTGAGACAGAGCCTCAAGCTGTCACCCTGGGTAGAGTGCCGTGACATAATAGCTCACAGCAACCTCCAACTCCTGGGCTTAAGCGATTCTCTTGCCTCAGCCTCTCAGGTATCTGGGACTACAGGCGCCTGCCACAATGCCTGGCTATTTTTTTGGTTGCAGCCGTCATTGTTGTTTGGCAGGATTTGAACCCACCAGCTCAGGTGTATGTGGCTGGCGCCTTAGCTGCTTGAACCACAGGCGCCGAGCCAGCATCATGTTTTTGAAGTTCATCCATGTTGTTGGAGGTGTCAATAGTTTTTCTCTTTTCATAGCTGAGTAATATTTCTTTGTGTGATGGACCACATTTTGTTTACCCTTTTCTCAGCTGGTGGATATTTGAGTTGTTTCCTCCTTTTGGTTGTGACTAGTGCTGCTATGAACATTTATGGGAATCTTTCATGATACCACTTACCAGTGGTGCTGACTACTATGAACATTTGTGTCTAAGTACATATTTGCGTCCATATTTTCAGTTCTTTTGGGTGTATTACTAGCAGTGGAATTGTTAGGTCATATGCTGATTCTATGTTTAACTTGATGGGAGACCACCAAATTTTTCCACAGTAGCTGCACCATCTTACATTTCCCCCTGCAATACATGAGGGTTCCAGCCAGGCACGGTAGCTCATGCCTATAATCCTAGCACTCTGGGAGGCTGAGGAGGGTGGATTGCTTGAGGTCATGAGTTTGGGACCAGCCTGAGCAAAAGCAAGACACGCCTCCCCCCCCCCAATAAAATAGAAAAACAGGCAAGAGGATTGCTTGAGCTCAAGTTGGAGGTTGCAGTGAGCTATGATGCCATGGCACTCTACCCAGGGCAACAGCTTGAGACTTTATCTTAAAAAAAAAGAAAGAGGGTTCCGATTTCTCCACAATCTCACCAACACAACTCTTCTCTTCTCTTCTCTCTTCTCTTGCCTTTTACTTGTTTTGCCTTTCCTTTTTTTTTT